GATTTTTTCACCCCTCTTGGAGAGCCTGGCAAGCCACCAAGAGAATCTCGCCTGCACGGCAAAGCCTGGCAAGCTACCCGTGAAGTATTTGATATCCCAAACACAGTAACAACGAGTCTCACAATGGAGACGTTACTGGGCCCGCTCCAGCAAATCAATGAACAACGGGAGAACAGTGCTACAGTGCTTCCTTGTTTTTATCCAAAAAAAGAAATTCAGAACAATTTATATAAGGCAACAGACAAAAAGTGCAAAAATATATTACTGCTTCAGAAAAAAGATATATGCATATATATGTATACAGATATACATATTTTTTTGCGACATTAAAAAGTTCTGATGTGGAGTTCATGCACAATTCAATCAGCTAATCAGTGGCTGAATAAATAGCAGTACTCCTACAAAAAAAAAAGTTCTGATGATACTTTAAGATTACCAACTACTTTAATATATGTCGTTTTGTCTCGGAGACTAAATTCTCATGTGTTTTGCTCGGGGAGGAGAGCAGAATTACTTCTTAACAGAAATTCTGGCAGGTAGTATGATATGATACTGAAAATAATAGGGCAGAAAAAAAATCAGTGGCTTGACAGAGAAGCCTATTTTAACTTTTGTTGGTATTCACTATAGGTTCTCACATAACTTGATGTGAATAACTTTTTAAAATGTCCAGTACTTGTAAAAGCCATTTCGAGGCTTTAAAGTGTTAGCTCTCACTTGAATATCCTGAAATATCCCCTAGATGGCTTGCTAATTCTTAGAGTAGTTCCTGTCTCATACTGTGTCCATTTGGGAAAGAAAAAAAAAAACCAAAAAATTAACCAACCCTGACAACACAAGCCCATAAAACTCTCTTCACATCACTCTTGAGTTTCATCTTTTCTCTGTGAGACTGAGATCTGCACAACCCCGACTCTTACTGTGTTTGCCTCCCCTGAATGGTTTCCTACCTCAAGCTGTTTGCAGCCTCTCATCTTCTCTCTTGAACCTTCATCCTCAGAGAAATCTCTCTAAGTCTTTAGAAATATTTCTAATTTTTTTTTTTTTAGCTTAAAGTGTCTGAGTGGTTTCTCTGAGAGACACAATGGCATTTCTCAAAACAATATCTGAAAGCCCCTGGGAAAAAATTCAAGTGTTACTCTTTTTTATATATTGATGAAAACCAAACCCAACCCAATAACTTGCACTCCCTTGACTCTCCAAATGGAGAATGTATATCGGAGTATGATGTTTAAGTTCATACTTACCAAGTTTGATACCAAATCTTACAGCTTTCTAATGAAGCATTAACTTATCAAAACGAACCCAAGATTTCCGGTCATATTCACAGGGGCATTTTCCTTGTAAGGAGATCAGATTCTGATATCAACGTGTGACAAAGTCCATATAGGACAAGGCCCAAATGTCTCAGTGTTGGTGATCATTTGTGATCTGTCTTCCACCACTTTTCCCACTGGGTCTTCTTCATTTTGCCCCTCCAGTCCCTTAATAAGCAGAACCGCTTCAAGCATTGGCCTTGCCTTTTGCTTAAGTAATCTTTGGAGCAATAGCACAGCGGGTAGGGCATTCGCCTTACAAGCGGCCAACATGGCCGACCCGAGTTCGATTCCTCCGCCCCTCTCGGAGAGCCCGGCAAGCTACCGAGAGTATTCGATATGCCAGACACAGTAACAACAAAGTCTCCAATGGAGACGTTACTGGGCCCGCTCGAGCAAATCGACGATCAACGGGAGGGCCTTTACCTTTACCTTTACCTTTAATCTTTGTATAGGTTATCTCCTTCTTTCTCTCCACTTACCTTGAATATTTATGCTCACACACTTAGCCTTTCCTTAAGGTCCCATCTCCAGTTATGTTAGGAACCACTACCTGGCTCCATTTATCGTTTACCCAAGGAATTGTGCCATCAATAAACTGCCCCTAACATGTTATACCACAGTTCCTTTGAGCTAGGAGTTGAGGTGTCAGCTTTGGCTGATTTATAGCTACTAGCAACTTGCTAACAGCTCATGCCAGATTCAGTTCCTCACAAATGACCTCCTTTTCTCATAACCTGTTGACCATGGGGCCTCCCTTGGTTCCTTAACTCAAAACATATGACAACTTGCTTCTTCTGAGGAAGCTGGAAAAATCAAGACACTCAGCCTGACACACATGGCATGAAGGATGAGGATTCTTGGAGACTATGATGAGGATTCCTGGACAGTATGATGTCTTTCTACCACAGACTGCATGGATCCATTTGGGCATGGTTAGGGGAAGCCATGATCTGAGTGAGAAGCTTCTTTTTGTTTGTTCTTTTGCTTCTATGACCACACTCGGCACTGCTCAGGTCTTGCTCCCATCTCTGTGCTCATGGATCACTCCTGGTGGTATTTAGGGGACCATATGGGGTGTCCAGGGTCAAACCTGGTTTGGCAGCATGTAAGGGAAGTGCCCTACCTGCTGTACCATCTCTCTAGCCCTTTTCAGAAACTTCCTATCCTCTCCCTGACTTCCATCTCAGCTTGTCCTGATATAATCATCTTGGTGCAATGACTGATTGCAAGATAGAAATAGAGGTATATTTAAATGGTCTATCTCTTAAATACCACTTGAAAGTTAGCTTCCTCATTTGATATTTAGTTGAAGAAAAAAAATGTCTATTTTGATTCTGGAAGAATTCTGTGTTGGACATAGTCACTAAAGGTGATATAGCTTAGAAAGTTGGTACATTCTTAAGAGATTGCAAATATAATCTTGACTACACAAGTTTGAGTTTATGTTCTTTTTTTTGTGTGTGTGGGGGGGACCCATACCTGGTGATGGTCAGAATTTACTCCTGGTACTGCACTAAGTCATTACTCCTGGAGGTTCTGGGGGACCTTATGAGATGCTGGGGATCAAATCCAGATTGACCACATGCAAGGCAAATGCCCTACTTTCTGTACTATCACTCGGGTCCCCAAGTTTAACTTCTAACCAGATGTGTTCAATGATGTAATTTCAGATATAGTACCTATAAAATTGTTGAGCTTTGTTACTTGACTCTCTAGGAGTTAATTAATAGCTTGGTACATGCCTAATTAATTTCTAACATCAATATTTTACCTGACATATATACATATATATAATAGAGAGAAGAGACAGATAAAATATCACATACACAAATATTGAGGGTTTAAGTACCAGGCAAAATATTGATATTAGAAGTGAATTAGGCATATACTAACTTGATATATTTGTATGTGTTTATGTGGAGGGGATTGGCCACATTTAGTAGTGCTCAGGTGCTATTCCCAGATCTACGCTTGGGGATTCCTCCTGGAAGTGTTCAAGGGATTAAAACGAGGTCTCCCACATGCAACACAAGTACTCAGCCAGTTGAACTTTCTCACCTGTGTATGTGTGAGAAATATATATTACATTTACTAATATATAGTATTAGTATATGTATTAGTTATATATATTACATTTACTAATGTAGACTATATTTACTACATTTCCTGAGGATTGCTGGGGTTTTCATAGTTAAGAACTTCATAGATCTTTCTTTATCGTAAATGCTTTAAAAGAATTACCTGGGCCTATCATGCCTGTAATATGTATGATATTTTTCTAATTTGGTAGAAAATTAGTAGGTTTTGTCCTCGAATCAAAGTTCTCTACTTTTCTCCTCACAGTTTCCAAATATTTTTTCTTTTTGTGTCAAGGGAATTGCCCTGATTTTATGATGACATTTGGGCACGATATTTAAACTGTTAAAAGTTATAAAAACGACCCTTTGGTATTAAATGTAATAAATGGCTCTGAACTGAATACATGCACAGGTCCTCTTATATGAGCTTTGTGAGCCCAAACTGCTCTAGTTACATATTCTCATTGTAATTGGATTCTTTGACATTCTCACATCCCCCAAGAGTCAAGGCAGTGCATGAAATATTCCTCATGACTTGACACTGATGTATACTTTGGGTCTTTTTATTTTTTTAAAAAAAATTTTGGATTTTATCTCTAAAACCCAAAATTTGTAGATTTTTTTTTTCTTGGGTCATACACAGGGGTTACTCCTGGCTCTGTACTCAGGAATACTCCTGGCAGTGCTCAGGGGACCATATGGGATGCTGGGAATCGAACTCTGGTTGGCCTTGCAAATGCCCTACCCGCTATGCTATCACTCCAGTCCCCAAAATTTGTAGATTTTTTTTTTTCCCTGTAGATTTCATGCCTCTACAAGAGAAAAAAAAAACTTTATTTCCTGAAGTGCTCAAAGAATGAATGCAGGTTGAGGAAGGGAGAGAGATAACTTCTAGAGCTTACTTATCTTTGTCATACCTTCACCAAGATATTTTATTTCCTATATGTATGGGTCATCTGCACTGCCTTCATTTGTCCAGGCTTGTATTTTTCTTTGCTTTTGTGTGCCTATGTTAAATTAGCCTATAAATTTTCTTGATACTTATCAACATATAACAGATTATTCTCTTCTTTTTTTTCTTCTCTTCTGATATCTTTGCTCTCTTTCCTTATTTTATGCCTATTATAATACCACTCTAGAAAAAGAAATAGTATGTAGAAAACCTAGGTTTATTGACATGTGAGAGTAGACTGAATTAGGATTTGGAGCATCTCTGGGTTCTTATAGTGAGTGATGAATGTGAGTTCCAGAATGCTTCATAATAATACTGAATTAAATCTACATGAGTAAAGATGGATGCCTGGCTCTCCTTTGACCTTCTAAAGACTCCAGAGTATGTTACTGCTTGAAATTGTAGTCTAATATTTTTCAGTTGTGATTCATTCACAGTTTAATATGCTTCTAGTTCTAGTTTGGCTTTTCCCTCAGGAAGAGATAAAATCTCTTCATTATAATATAGACAGTGTTCTGCACTTTGAATACAAATTTATACATGTTCAGAGTAATTTTTCTTGTGATTGTCTCTACCCTGGAGAAGTGTCTTTAATGAATTACATACAAATTGTGTAATTTAAGAAGTTAATTTGGTTTTCTGGTTACACAGGACTGAAAACAGCCCTTGTAGAAAGAGATGATTTCTCATCAGGGACCAGCAGCAGAAGCACTAAATTGATCCATGGTGGTGTGAGATATCTTCAGAAGGCCATCATGAAGTTGGATTTGGAGCAGGTAATTATGTATTCTGGTTGTTAAATAAAAAAATTGCGGCTGTGCTTGCTTTTTTCCACGTAATTAAATCATTTTTTTTCTTTTTCTCTTTTTCTTTAATGGCTTTAAACAGTTTTTTACTGTTGAAAATACTGATTTAGTGTATTCTGCTAGAGTCTCTTTCAGGAGCAGTGTGCTACCTCTACCCTGTAATATTATGTCTATGGATTTTCAGGGACATTTTCTTCATAGGTATAGCAAAATAACAGACTAGACAATCACTTATAGATGTGTTGCCATTTAACAATTGTGATTTTTTTTTCCCCTTTGCCAATGATCACTAAATAACTATTTCCCAAGCAGTTTCAAGGGAGTTGTGTTGTAGTGCTGGAAGAGTATTAAATTGATCCTTCTAACGGCAACCACAGTCATGCATTCATCTTGTCACTGACATCTGAAGAAAAAGATGAGCTGAGTCATGTTTTTCTTAGGTCACATTTTATTGTGTCCAGTCTGCCATCATTTGAAGACTGCAAAGGCAGTGGGCAAGATGACATTTCCTAGAGGGGAAAACAGTTCTCCCTGAATTCTCTATCAGCTTTTCATACAGGAAAAGCACAACAGCACTAACTTGACATTGTCGTTTTTGGATCTGTCCTCCTAAGTGTCTCCGGCATCATGATGGATGCAAAGAAAAGAGCAGAAGAGTTTGAATTAGACGAGTTGTGATGTGTTCCAGCTTATGTATTCAACTTCTATTAGCTTCCTGCTTCTCATTTGTAAAATTAGTATTCTAATAGTACTGCTGGCTCTTCTGGCTCTTCTGTGCGACCTAATGAGAACTAAAGGAGTTAAGAAAAAAGCTTTTTTTTTTTATAATCTACAAAACACTCTGCAACCTCTGAGTATCTTCTCTGATGAGCTGGTGGAAGCATGAAGGGAATGCTTATTGTGGATTTAAGTAATCTGTTATCTCTTACATGAGAAAATATTATGGGGGAATGAGAAAGGAGACAATACAGAGAATGGAAGATAAATTGTTACAATAATCCTGCAACTGAAGTCAGGAAAATATCTTACACCTGGGAACTCTGACAGCATGTTTTTCTCCTATGCAAATACAGTTAAGGTTTCTAAAAAATCTTTCAGGTTGACAGCATGATGTATTATTAGAAATTTGATTAGGAGGGAGCTATCCTCGCTCAGAGGTAGAGAGGTTTTTGTGTATCAATCAGTTGGCAGGGTGTCTATTTGCCATTTGAAAATATTATGATCTGTTACTGCCAAACTAATTTTCTCTGTTTTGCTTTTCAGTATAGGATGGTAAAAGAAGCCCTTCACGAGCGTGCCAACCTACTAGAAATTGCTCCCCATTTATCAGCTCCATTGCCTATAATGCTTCCAATTTATAAGTAAGCCTTTGGTATCATCTTTATACCATTTGTTTATCTGAGGTCAATAGAACAACACAGTGTTAATGGGTATCGTCCCTCAATGTGCATTTCTTAATGGGGTTTTAATTGGTCCTAATCTTGAGTCTTTTCAGATATTTTCCTTTGTTGTATTTGAAAGTATGGGTTTCTTTTTCTAAATAACCCTTTTACCTATTTAAGAGGCTATAGTATGAGGCAAGATTTTGCACTCAGTTTTTATAGTTAGTAGTTTCTCCAATTTTCTGGGAGCATGTCGAGGAACAGCTGAGTTTGCCTTGGGGATTGGAAAGATGGTCAGTTGTGGACTAAAATGACCGCCCCAAAATCTGAAACTAACGGGTGTCAACTTCAAAGTTAAATCATCTTGAGTTATATTAGTTTCTGAATTAATGGGAACTAAAATCTGATATAGAGATTTCAGATTTTGAATTAGAAAAACTAATGTTCCTCATGTTACTAGAGTTTTATATGTATGACAATGCCTTGCGTTCTATTATTGATGATCTGGAAAGGCAGATTGTGTTACTATTAGCCACCTGAGATTTGGGGCTTAGAAACAAATGTGTTTTATAATTCTTATCCATATTTTTGTGCACATTGTTAATGAAACTTAAATTAGTGATTTTCTATCATGGATAGAGTCACTAAGTCTTTTATGTAGTTAAATCAATCTACACACATGAGACACTGAAAACTATTTTTGATTCTCCCCAGGGTTTTCTAATACGCAGCTGAGTTGAGAACCCTGCCTTGGAGATGATTTATTTAGAGTCTCTCTGATTTCATTTACTTAAATAATAGTTCATCTAAGCCGGTGTCATAAACAATCACATGTTTCTTCTCTTTGTTTTTTGCAGTGCATGTTCAGATATTCTTTGCTTTTCTTAAAAGTATCTTGCAGCTTAAAGTGACATACAATTATACTGTGGTCTGTGTCTGAAGAAAAATTCTCTGTGTTGTAGGTGGTGGCAGCTACCTTACTACTGGGTAGGAATCAAGCTATATGATCTGGTTGCTGGAAGTAATTGCCTGAAAAGCAGCTATGTCCTCAGCAAGTCCAGAGCCCTTGAACATTTCCCAATGCTTCAGAAGGACAAACTAGTAGGAGCAATTGTCTACTATGATGGTATGTGATTTTATTTTCACAAGATATCTTTCTCTCACTCTTGACTATATACATACATGTGTAATATATGTATCCGTGTACATATACTCACTATATTCTTTTTTTATTTTTATTTTTGTGTTTTTTTGCTTTTTGGGTCACACCCAGCGATGCTCAGGGGTTACTCCTAGCTCTCCACTCAGGAATTACTCCTGGCGGTGCTTGGGAGATCATATGGGATGCCGGGGATTGAACCCAGGTCGGCCACGTGCAACGCAAACACCCTACCCACTGTACTATTGCTCCGGCCCCACTCACTACATTCTTGTTAAGATGGCTTATACCCTTTTAGTAATCATTTTATACAATACACAAGTGCACTTTCATGCACCGTATAAGCCTCTAATACTAGCTTAGAAGCTCCTCATAGTGTTTTGTTTTTGATATTTTTAGTGTTTGCATAGTCAGTTATTTGATTTCTACTTTGTTGCTCATGGTTGGTTTGACAAATTTTCCGTTATGAATTTGCAAAATCTTTTGCCATTTCATTTGTTGTATATTCGTCAGTGAATACCTGCCTTATGAATATAATACAATGTTGAAAGAGCTGAGGATCTGTTAGCTTTTCTAGATCAAACCTCTATTTTCAAGGAGTTATAAATCTAGGGAAAAATGCCCCCTGGGCTGGCTGAAATTGACACATATGTGTTTTGCACAGAAAACAGTTTTTCAAATTATAATTTATGTGATGAAGGTTTATGAACATTGCATCTGTTAAGTGAAATCTTTAGCTTTTATTGCTTACTTCATTGTTGTCAAGTATTAGAAATTTTAAGTGAAATTATCTAGTATATATTTGACATATATTCATTATGTATTCAATGTGCATGGACAGTATGATTGTATACATTTCATTTGAAAGAACTAAACTTTTAATTAAATAAAAATTTATTTAAAAAAACCCAAAATACTTAATCATCCCCAGATGACCAAAATACAAAGCAGAATAGCAAGAGCCATTTGTGAACTTTTGCGACACTTTAACGTCTTGTGGAACTGGAAAATAGTTTGAGAATATCTATGAGGAAACAGCTGGAAAAAAGCACTATGCATGTTTTAGAAGTCGAGAACTTTGATAACACAAAGGACGACTTAGATTGTCTAGCCTAAGATTTTTTTTTCCTTAAAAAAATAAAACATTATGGGGTCTTTGATATTTAGTGTTAGCTATATTTTAGCATGAAGAAACATTTTTGTTTTATTTCTCAATAGCCTTTGATGTTCCTACTTCTTAGTATAGGATATCCTCAAGGCCTGGTCCCACCTTTGTTTCTTCTTCTTGTTAGTTTTTGAATCAATTTGGTTAGAGAGGGAATCAATTTAGCAGAACTTCATGTATGAATGGAAAGTATCTCTGTGTAGAAGGGCACTGGGGAGAAGCTCAAAAAACATTCTAGGTAAAACAGCACTAGGAAAATAATGAGGGTCTTGGATAAACATTCAAGCTTTAAAAAACGTAGTTTTAAAAATTCTTCTGGTTTTTAAATTTTTTAAATAGTAAAATTTATACTTTTACAGTGCCTTTCGGCATCCAAACTCCAAGAGGCAGGCACTTAAGGAGATTTGTAATACTCTTGTCTAAGCCCACATTTTAAAGGATAACTTTATGACTTTGCTTTCTTCTACATCAGATCCTTAATTTTAATCCAGATATGGAAGTCTTTGGGCCCTTGGCCTATTATTATCTCTTTCCATAACTCCCCTCTCAAATATATGGACATTTTCTTGCCATTTGATGTCTTGAACACTAAATCCTTTCATTTATTCTTTTGTGCCTATTTGAATTTCCTTAAGAGTAGTATTGGTAGGTGTTCTATCTGAATTTGTGACATTCTGTATTGTTTGTTTGACATTGTTAATTAAACACTATATTCCTAGTATTTTTATATAGAGAACCAAAAAATCAGAAGTACTATCCTATTAAAATCAAGAGGAAGAAGTTTTTCTTTTATTTAAAAAGGTTTTTAAATAACTTTTATTTAAAAACCTTTTTCTTTTATTTAAAAAGGTTTTTAAATAAATGACTTGTTGTAAATGAAAATTATTAGTTTAGCAAAACATTGAAAAAAATTTTAAATCATTACTTTTAAAATGATATTTGTAAATTGATTCTAAAATAGGAAATCTTGAGTAAAATGGAATAGAGGTAATGCTACTTTTTTTCTTCAAGTCCTCTTTTAACATGATAAAGGTCCAACTTTATTATACTTTAAGCAAAATCAGAATGTGAAACAAAAGTGTAGTTCTATGGTTTCACCACTGTGTTCACACATAGGGCAGCTCCTATTTTACCTAATGGTGTGATAGTCACATTAAAGCTCAACACAAAAATAAGATAGAATGGAGCACATAGGTTAAGGAACTAAATCAATAAATGAGCACTCAGAGAGAGGAGGGATGCCTTGCATTTTGATCAGAAAAATAACATTAGTTATCTTGTAACCACAGTTTCACAGATAAGATAAAATACTTCCTGAACATTAACCATTGTATGTGAGGGCCAGCCACTGTAATTTATAAGAGAAGTCCTCCCTCCCTCCTTCCCTCCCTCCCTTCCCTCCCTTCCCTCCTTCCTTCCTTCCTTCCTTCCTTCCTTCCTTCCTTCCTTCCTTCCTTCCTTCCTTCCCTCCCTCCTTCTCTCCCTCCCTTCCTTTCTTTTCAAAAAAGGTTAAAAATAGAAAGAGACAAGAAAGAGCAAGGTAGAAAGTGCAGCAGAGGTTGTGATATAGGCAGCAGGGAATGCATCAAGATAATCCCTAAAAAGAGAAAAGATTCTTTTTTTTTTTTTTTACCAGTATGAGACTATAGCGGTAGTCACCCAAATGATTTCAGATGCTTTTGTGCTGCTTGCAATATATTTACTTATCCTCAATCATATTTACTGGAACTGGGGATATCAAATGGTTGGTGCTTGGGATGTATGGGGCCTGAGTTTGATCCCTGAAACCACATCTTTTTCTCACTCTATCCCCATACCAACAGTTGTGATCCCGCTGACTCCTGGCACCACCAGCCCAAAGAGCACCACATAATTTTGATAAAAACGTGTCATAAGTTGTTAAATGAATGATCAAATGTGATAAAAAATTTTTGATCAGTAGAAGTCTTTTCGTAGTGTATTATACAGTTACCTCAGCAGTAATGAAAAGTGAAATATCACTTGTATCACTTGTCATCTCATTGCTCGTGGATTTGCTTGAGCAGGCGCCAGTAATGTCTTCATTCATCCCTGTTGTGTGCTAGTGTAGCCCAATGGCATTTGTTCGCTTTAGGAATACGAAGAGCATTAACCTGTTCATTTAGGGTCTTGGCGAAGTCCAACCATCTCATCGGTGGGCGCCCAGGTGTTCTTTTGACGTCCCATGGAATCCAGTTGGTAACAGAAAGTAAAATAAGTGAAATATAATAGTATGAAAATAAAGTCTAGTTACCAAGTAGTGTAGTTAACTTGGACCAGTATCCAAGAAATGCTTCAATGCTTCAATGCTAGGGTGTCACTTCTGGCTGTAAGAGGGCATATCTAAAGCACAAAATGCATAAGTAAAAAAAAAAATTCTCATAAGAACAGTTCATGTTAAATTAATTGTAATAGGGATTGCATCTGATGAAGAAAAAATATATTTCTCAAAAAAATTCCACATAAGTAATAAATCCCACATATTTTAAAAATGTAGTAATTATTGTAGCTATTCGGATCTTGGCATGTGTAAGATCCATCATCCTATTTTGTTGTTAACTGCTGAAAAACAAACCCACGCATACTTTTCACTGCAAAGTAAATGTCAAATTTCTCAGTAAAACCCATACGAAATGAACCTGGAATAGGAAGTGGTGACATATAAGGTTATACTTTCTTTCTGTTTGAGACAAGGTAGAATCAACTTGTGAGTTTTCTCAGAGACTTGTCTGTGTTTACTATCTCCCCACACTTCTGTCTGCCACCTCTTACCAAAGGGCCAACAGCTGCCGCCTGACCATAGCCGTTGCCACTCAAAGTGCAGTTACCAGGTAGAGAGGATGGTGACTGGTTGAATCCTCCCGGTTCATCAGGAAGTCTTTATGATTGACAGGGTTGGAAGACTTGGCAGGGTGTGAGCTTATATGAACTAGCTGTGTATGACCAGCCAGTTTTCTCCAAAACTTTCTTTGTCTTCTGCTATCAACTTTAATTATCTTGTTCTCAGGATACATCTTGGTTCCATTCTTGTTGAATTCTAGTCATCTAGTCCACTGCACAGCAAATGAGATATTGTTGAAAATCATTTAATGATTTAATACTGGAAACCATTAAATACCTCCATGAGGCTTCTATAAAATGAAACCAGAGAACAAAATTACAGCTTTAAATTCTTTCTCAGAGTCAAAGCATTGACAGAGAGAGGTCGGTTATTACACACTCAGTAATGCCCTTAAGTATTCCTTATGCACATATGAAAATGGCAACCTATAAGAAATTACATTGGCTTTCCCAATGTAAATAAAAGTTGGTTATATCCATGTTTCAAAGGGAGAATTAAAGTCCAAGTTTCACTAGAATATTCATATTTATTTCAATCTAAAACTCACAGCATACAAATAGATGAATTCAGCTCCTGAGAAAGCAAAGCCAATTTAATCTCTGGCTCCCCTGAGGTAAATGTAGTTCACGGTCCTACCCCCTCCCCAATCTTAGCTATAATCCTTGGCTCCTGGAGGTAAAAATGCACTGAAGTGAGAAAAATTCTGCAGCAGGATATAATGATCCAAAATGACAGGGACAATAATGACAATGAATTTCATGTCTCCCAGTCATGAGCTGAAGATGCTTGACTAGGCTGACTCATACAATTAAATTGTTACAGGTACAGCAGGAGATGCAGTTAGCTGTGTGCTTTGGGGAACAATGCTTCTAGCAAAAGGCATATTGTAGAATCTTCTAGACCCTTTGTAAGGAACAAACTATTACTCCTTTAGGCATGCAC